ATCTGCGTCTGATGCAGGCCTTGGCTCTGCTTGCTCCTTTCATATACCAAGATCTATATGTACGGCTCTGCTCTGCTTTAGCCCTGTAGAGTGTGCTTTTTACTGAGCACCAGTGCACCGCAGGAAAACAAAGCCTGTGAAAGCAAGCTTCACAGGTGGTGCTTCTCCGCAGTGCTCCGGTGCTCGGAAAGAAGTGCACTCAACGGGGCCGCGAGAACAAAAAGTATGGATTACACGAAAACGTCGTTCAAATTAAGCGGCTTATGAATACAATGAAAACGTAGCGGGACAGCCCAAGTTTTGAAATTTGTTTGACTTAACCAGAGGTATTATATCTCCGAGTTTGAATTATCGCGAGCATACTGTATACTCTAAAGGAGATATGGCTCACTTGATTGTGCTTAATATCACTGAATGGTTATGCAAATTTTAATTTGCTAGTTTTATTTCTCAAGCACATGTTGTGTTGGGTATTCAAATCAATGCAAATTTTTACTTTGGTTCAATTTATGGGAGGTTTGTTTTTTATATCATGTGCAGTAGAAAGGTGGGGAGCTGGGCTAGGTAGTAAACACGTTGCTTGCTGATGTTAACCATGTATGTCATATACAGCTTGTTGTGATTGTGTATTGATTTCGAATCCTCTTCTGCTCTTTATTTCAGGCTGCTCTTATATGCACCATGAAGATATCGAAGAGGTCTCCAATTGAAGGACAACTATAAGTACAAGCACGGAGGGGCATCTAGATGGCAAGCGCAAGGACAACTGTAATGTAAAATTTCTCCCAACTTAAAGCAAGGCATGCCTTCTTCCAATAAAGGCATTGTGGCAAAACTTCTTAATTGGTTCAGCTGTCATCTCTACGAACAGCTGATCTCACACACACAAAATCCTGGCAATGAGTAGTAGAGGTTGTGTGCTCTTTTTCTTCAGTAGTGTTGACGATTGGGCTAGTTGGTCATTCATATTAGCAGAAAACAAACAGCACAAGGACAAGGACAGAGTAGAAGGCGGTAGACAGACACAGCGCTGTGTCTGTCTACCGCCTTCTACTCTGTCCTTTTCCTTGCGCTGTTTGTTTTCCTCTTTTCTTGTTGAACTCTTGTTGTTTTGTGTAAGGATAAAAAATTATACAAGTTAGTATATTGAATGACAGAGACTATGAACTCTCCATACCAATCCATACCTCAAAAGTTTCATGTGACTTCGGCTTGCTTGAGCATGGAAGCTGTTTGCACTAAATAACGGAGCACTAGACCTTTCTGTCTTCTTGAAGCCCGTAGCTACGAGCCATCCGCACCAATCCTGCACCTCCGATACGCCAGGTGGCACCCCTGGCAAAGGTATAGCCCTCCCAGGGGAGTCGCCTGATGTATCGGAGGTGCGGGTGGTACGGATGGCTCGTAACTTTGGCCTTATCTAAGGCCGAAAGGTATAGTGCTTCATTATTTAGTGCCGACAGCTTTCATAATTCCTACGGATAGGCCTCCGTAGTGAGCTATAGACATTTCGTCATTTTACAAGATTATGTGCCTTGTTTTTACAGACTGTCCAGTTTCTAGATTACGGGAAATCTTGCCGGCAATATAAAACCAGCAACTTTTACCAATAAAATGGGAAAACGGATAACTGTCTGTTAAGTGGAATAAAGACGTTCCGTCATTTTACAAAATTATATGCCTTGTTTTTAACAGACTGTTCGGTTTCTAGATTACGGGAAACCATGCTGGCACTATGGAACCCGCAACTTTTACCCATAAAATTGAGTGAAATTTTTTTGCAGTGCTGCCATACCCCTTGTCCAAGTCGAAGATGGTCAGACATCTCCAATTCCCACTAAAATGAAGCATCCGTTTTCATTGAAAATAAAGAGTTTCACATTTGATGTCGGAGTACGTCATTCGCATTCTTACGTATTTCAAGAAGACATTTAAATCCCAAAATGGCTCAACGATAACGGCCACAAAGCATTTTGAAAGACGGCTGTAAAACGGTTTCGAAAGACGGCCGAAAAACGGTTGACGACATCGGTCACAAAACGGTTGGCGATATCGGTCTCAAAACTTTCCCCGTGATCGGTTCAAGTTATTGGACCGATCTGGAGCCGGGGTGCAAATCATTATTGGACCGTCATTTCCTAAAACTTTGACCGATATTTGTCCATTATTGGTCCAATATTTTTGTGCTGCCTGGGATCATACTCTCCGTCTGTGCCTCGCTCTCTATTTTTGATTCTTGCACGGCGATTGCGTCGAGGTCTTTTTCAATAAACAGTCGGCTCACTTGGCATTGCCTGCGACGTGTATCTTGACCGCGCACGTTTAAAGTGCCAAATTTCAAAGCCCTATTCAGAAAATTTTGTATTTTAGAGGGAGGCCAGTACGAGAGCACGGCACTTGCAGTGTGAGACGAATAGCGGTGTACGAGAGAACTCACTTCGTGTACTCCGTGCGGCATTTGGGTCACTCAGGCCGCGACTTGTACCGTCCCACCTTGCCGCGCCATTCCCGTTCGAGGCGCAGCTTTGCCTCCCCACTCCCAGATGCAGAGTCATCCAGCCTTCGTTTCACCGCCCAGTTTTCTGTGGCCATGACGATGTCTTGGTCGCCGCCCTTGACATCTTCAGTATTTGTTGGCTGAGGGTCCTCTACGGCGTCATCCGGCGTCGCCTTCCCCGTCGGAGGCTTCATAGCTTCCTTCTGGAGCCGTCTTGAGCGTTGGCGCCTACTGAGAAGCCCCGGCCTCTACCTCTCTTGAGCCCCCCTTTTCTGTCTCTGTCCTTGCAGCTCCTTCGGTGACGCCGGTGCTGCTGCTTCCTCCGCCTCCTCTTCGTCCATCAGCAGCTCGGAGGTTTCCTCGGTGGCTCTGCTGCCGGCTACACGGGCGTAGGTCTTGACACAATCCCTGGTCTCGTGTCCAATGGCGCCGCACTCGGAGCACCGAGGCGCCTTGCAATCACGGCGAATATGCCCCGTGCGACGGCAACGGAGACATCTCGGTGCGCGCCCGGGGACGACTACCAAGACCCCCACCGAGCCGAAGCTGGTCGGGGAAGCTGAAGATTCTATGTCTCCCAAGGATTACGTCCAAGGGTTTGGCGGTTTCAAAACTTGGGGCATGTTTTTGTCCGGCCATTATTTATTTTTATCTTCAATTTGAAAAAACATTTAAAAGAGTAAAATTAAGCCCTGAATTACGACTAATTGGGAATCTAACAAAATATAAACTCCTATAAACACCGAATTTTTTTCCTTAAAATAAACTCCAAAAACACGGAACGTTACCCTATGGCACGTGCAGCTCTTTCAGACCTCGAAAGGTGTAGATTAAATTCTCCATGGGGCAAAAAAAAACTTTTATGCTTTTATAGATAATATTGTGGTACACATTGGCAGTTCCATCACTATCGTACGTTAGACAACGTTCTTGGTTAATTTCTCGTCGCTCTTTTGTAATCAAGACGCCGATGAATTGACAGAGATGGGAGGATCAGGACAACCAGTGTATACACCTCTTCTGCTCAGTTTTTCGAGAACGGAGTAGGTAAAAGTGCTTCTTCCGATATAGATACCACACAAAAAAAGCAATATACGGCATTCGCTTTTCGATCATTTTAAAATCTGAATACCTCAGTGTCAAAGTACAGCATACATCAACTTCGTGACAACAACGTCATCTTATCAGAACCGCCTCCCAGCACCTATCGTCAGCATGCCATGAATTGAACTACTTCAAGATACCTTAACCAATCTGCTTTGCTAGCACGCGGTACTAATTATTATCTAAAAAAATGCTTACGTTGTTTTTATTCTTATGGGGTTAATTTTTTTAGTGGGAATTTGTCCTGCTGCTTTGTAATTCCTTACGGGCCCTGGAGGTATTGCAATCAATAATTAAATGAAAATATCGTAGTTGCAAAAAACTGTTCAAAATTCATTCTGAACTTTGTTTTCAAGTCCCATTTGACTGACGAATAAACTAACAAGATTGCTTAGATTTACATTAGTGTTCAAACTGATAGAAAAAAAAGTATAATTGAAACTCAGAATAATGAGAATTTTAAAAACTGTGTTTCAGTGTGCAAAGGATTTAGATCTTTGCGAACTGGAGCGAAAAAATACAGGCATCTAACAACTTGGCACGCCCATACAAAGAAGTTTCCCAGAAAACAACACTTAACTAAATCACTTTGTTAATGTGACTCTTCTATATTATTTTTCTTTTATTTTGGTTTGGCATGAGCGTTTCACAAAAATAACTACGTATGCCGCTCCGAAAAAAAAAGAAAAGAGACGCGGTTCTTTTACTTGTGAATCAAGCACCTTCACTTTTTTTTTTAGAGTTATACTGGTGTTATGGTTGAAGCAGAGTCGTTCACTATGATCTATTTAGGTACTGCTTCATCTCTACAAGGGGGAAAGGTACTATTCTATCCGTCAAGGGAAAACCTACGCAGTGGTCAGGAATCCACTCATGGGAACATTTGCGAAACTTGCGAGTTGCCTACTTCCCCTTTTACCCGGAAGTAGTGGAGACGTGAAAGTATCCTGACAATAAAAAAAAAATATATGTTGATAGGTGGCGCACTATACCTGGTATCGATATATTTCTTTTTCATTTTGTTTCAGATCAAGCTAACTACAAAAAAAAGTCTTCAAGGTGTGTGCTGAACCAGCATTACAACCAGGCGGGCCAAAACCTGTACTCGCATCAGGTTTTGTACCTGATGCGAGTACAGGTTTTGTGTATACAGGGCCAAAACCTGTACCCACAACACCGCGTTTTGATGCCCTGTACTGTTCTGGAATATAAAAAACACGGGCTGGTCCTGTCCGTTTACTGCGTCGAACCACTGAGAAGTAGGAGCCTTTGAGCAACCGGTCCAAGGTGCAGCAATTGGAGGGCAACAGGACTCGCAGTGTGGCGGTGCTTTTGGGTCTGCCACTTCGAATGCTGCAACCACGTCTCGTATGATAGAAGCGTATCACGTCAGCGGTCGGGACAAGTGAACCGTGTCCGAATGGCACGGTTTTGCACATCCTACAGCCGGTAAGTCAAGTGGAGTCAGCATGGATGCCAAACAAATGCGCAGTGTTCCAACTTTGGTAGAACAAGTGCAGTGTAAAGCAAGTTTTGAAAAGCCACAGAATTTCGACAATCGTGTCCCAAAGCCCAAAGTGCACCGAGCTTTAGCCACTATGTTTGAAATGTGGAGAGATAAGTCCAGTGGTGGTACAAACATTACAAGCGATGCCCCAAGGATTGATGCGCATTGTACCTTCCATAAGGGGGATCCTGAGATAGTGTATAGGGGAATACTGGTAGTCTTGGTGTTGTGGAACCGCATCACTATGCTCTTACCCTCACTCATGGCCAGGCAGTTTGCATGCGCCCACTCTGAAAAGCAAGTGATGTAGCCTTGAAGGCAGATGGAGCAGTCGGGAGCATTGATGCGGGAGATAATGGACCTGTCGTCTGCATACTGTTCAAGTAGGGTGTTACTGTTTTGCGGTATGGTCGTTAACATAGACAAGTGTGGAGCCTTGTGAAACTCTAGAAAGAGCTGGATAGCTTTGGGACATTGACCCATGGTAGCACGCGTTGGGTATAGCCCACCATGAAGCGAGTCAACCAGAGTGGTAGTGAGCCTCGGACACCAGCCCGTGCGGCCTTTCTGATCAGGACAGCGTGATCGAGCATGTCAAGCGCATTACTGCAGATCAGTTGAATCAAATCAGCAGGAATGCGATTGTTGATACTGTTACAAGTTGAGAAAATGTGTTCAATAAAATATAAAATAATTAAAGAAAAGAGAATACATAGCACATCATGGGACCCGTCCAACACAGCGAGACAGATATGTTTGTTCGGTCTCGTGCTGGCTTCAGATGCTCTTGTAAAAACACCATGATGATTATTGTTGGCGCACACTATACGCCACACGAAAACAATCGGCAAAATCTGAGTGGCTGGCTGTCAGTCAGTTAGAGTTTGTCACGTCTTGGAAACGCTTTGACTGTTTTCTTGCCTTTCTTCCATTTTTTTTACTAGGATTTTTTTCTTCTGTTTCTTTTTAACTAGGATCACTGAACTGCTGTACTCCGACTCGCTGTTCCTTACGAGTGCATTGGTCTTAAGCTCGTCGGTGATTTGCCGAAGTAGTTTCCGGTCTGTCCATGGTGCGCGGTAAGGATCTGTCAACCCACGGCTGAACTCCCTGGTTTCTCCTGTATATCCATGGTCGCAGCTGTCATGCATCCCAGTTTCTTGGTGCTCATTGCAAAGCATTCACACTTTTTGTTCAACATCTCACAGATTTCTTTCTTATGTCCCTTGGTCACAGACGCTCCGACCTTGTTCTCTTCCATGTTGATTCTAGACAGGAACCCCTTTCCACACTCAAACGTGGTGGACTTCCAGTTGTGAAATCATTAGCTTATCGGTATCCTGAAGTTTGACCAGGTCTCCACGCTTAACTGTCTGGCCCTTCTTGAGGATGGTGTCAGAGTTTGTGACGTTCACGATAGGAAGACTTCTATCCCCGTCTTTTAACTTACACAGGTAGTCCATCTCATCCTCCCCAGCTGTGAGAAATTATGGTTTGTCATAATCTGAAACAAGTGTGACCCATTGTACAGTCTTCTTCTCAAGCTTGAAACTGTCTCTGGTGGACAACGAAACTCGCATGTCATCATGGTCAACCTTGATTTCTTTGAGAAATGGAAAGTCTCGTTCGTCTAGCAGCATAATCGTTGCCTCTTTCCGAAGTAGCACAACGTCTGGTGTGTCAATGACGTCTGTTCCCACGATGATGTCTCGGCCCGTGAAAATGTTGTCTGGAACCACCTGCATTCTCACCGCTTTCAAGAGGTTACTGTCTACTTCAAGGTCCCCTAAGGTTTTGCATGTTCCGCCTACGCCACATACTTGTTCCTTTCGGCTAGGAACTGCTACTTTTTTTGCCTAGCTGGGCGGCAAGTTTCGTCTTGATCATGCTGATCTGCACACCTGTGTCCAGAAGAGCAGCTGTTGGTTCTCCATCAATGTTCACTGATTTGAAGGCTTCCGACAACCCACAAACTTTGTGCCGGTCTTTAGCCTTGACCACTTGTAGTGCATTTTTTTTTCACTCATGACAATTATTTGAAACTGTGTCCTTGCTCCCCACAGTGAGTGCACATTTTCTCGCATTGTGAATCCGGGCAATCTCGTGCAATGTGGCCTAATTTCTGACAATTGAAATATTTCAACCCCTTATTCTGGGAATGGTTGGAATCGTCATTCTCAGCTCGTGACGACAAGGCCTATTGGGGCGCTATTTGCTTTTGCGTGCTATCAATACCCGGCCGATTGAGTCAAGGAAATCCACTTTCCAAGGACGTTGCCATGCTGAGACTTATCGCGTTCATTTAGGCTTAGGAATGGCCAGAATGGAAAGACTATCTAAAAAATGCGGCGAGGTCATTGTTCATGCTTTGCGATTTAAGTTAGGTAAGGCAACGCGAAAGCCTCCTGCATCAATCGTTGCTGACTAACGCGCCCGATATTGCAGCTACAACAACATTCTAGTTTTAAAGCGAGCGGCGCTCACTTACCGGGGCACCGCCATGTTTCCCCGCATCCCTACTGAGTCCAGGCACGTGATTTCAAAATCCCTTTCCGAGGTACCGCGGCTAACTTTAGCCGCGGTTAGCGCTTCGAGCAAACGGGCCCAGCAGTGTCGAGACCACGAACGTTTCCTGACTCGTTGGGTGGTCTGAATCGAACTGTATGTCGCGCCCGGTGACCGTTGCTTTCGTGTACACGGTAAACTTCAGGTTATCTCCTCGCCTTTTCACCAATACATTGAGGAAAGACAAGATTCTCTCGCATTCTACGGTGAATTGAATGGTTGGCTCGATGGAGTTCAAGTGTGCCAGGAAATTGTTAACATGGGGTTTCGGTAGAATAAAGAAACAATCATTCAGGGTGGTCGTCGTGGAAGACATGGAAGCAGTCATCACTGTTCCGCTGACCTACTTGAAAAGCTCACCTTTGACACTGAAGTACGTGGTGCCAAGGAAAAACTACAGAACGTGACCTAGCTCATCCACACTGAGGGTGGCTCTTGATCCCAAGCGGCTATCCCTCTTGAGGGCTTCCATGGCCGCAGAAGCTAGAATGTTCGTTCTACTCGTGTCTCGATGACTGTGCCTGCCGTGCGAGGCCTTCACCTTCTTCTTTTTTCTTGGGTCTCCAGGGGTCACTACACACACTATTCGGAACGTGTAGGGATGGCCGAGGGTGCTGAGCCAAAAGGGCTCGGGGAATGGACCTTTTTCCAGTAAGGAGTGCCTCCTGACGGTTTCGCCGCCTACTACAAATGGAGGGCAACCGGACTCGCCTTCTCCCATAGGAACAGATTAGGGTCGCAAGAAAACAGTGCCCCCCAAAAATGGCGAAAGGGCGGTCAAGGTCAAGGGAAAAGGGTGTGCGAGTGCGCAGACGCTTACTGGAAAAAGGTCCATTGGCGGCGCGGTCACCCGAAGCGTCCTTCGGAGGCGCCCGATGTCTCACGTTTTCCCTTTGGCGGCAAGCGGCGGCCAGCTCCCGAAAGCGGAAGCAGATTTCCCCACGTGGGAAGTAAACGAAACCTTTGTTCTGAAGGCGGGAGCGGGTGGTCGCCCTTGCCGCCGTGGTAATTGGGGAAGCGACCTTGTCAGGGCCATGTCGGCGACTCCGGGGAGAGAGGGAGATTTGGCCTCTCTTCGGAATGTCGGCGTGTCTCTTCTTGGAGAAGTTGAGTTTGAACGAGCCCGTGCGCGGAGCAAGACGTTATTCTTCCGCGGTCCCGAGGGCTCCACCTATTCTGTCTCGCGAGACAGAGACCTTGCCGCGCGCGGCAAGGGACTTGGCGCCGAGGCGCTATTGATGGCGTTGGGTTGCCGCGAGCAGCATCAGCAGCGCGACGTTTTCCTGTTTTGTCTTTCATAAAGTTGTGCATAATCTGTAAATATAGATTAGTTTACCAAACCAACGAGTCGTGAGCATCCCTGTGGGCACCGGGAACAAGCCACCCTCTAGCCAGCACAGCACTCTACGATAGACGAGAAACATTACTGAACATAAGAAAATTTCACATCCCTATCTATTTCCCAAACTACATTTCTTCGGGAAAAGAAGAAGCTAATGCAGAACCTGTCGACACGCACAGTAGAAGCCCAAGAGAAGATAACAACACAATATTTTCGGGCATGAAAAGTTAGAACAGGCATTAAAACTCTATATAAGTTCTAGGGTTCGGCGTTTTCGGTTTAAACCGATAAAAACCGATAAAAGTACGCCGAATCCATTTTCGGAAATTCGGTTTTAACCGAAAAAGGTCAGTTTTTAGGCTCGGCATTTTCGATTGAAACCGATAAAAATACGTCGCATTCATTTTCTAAAATTCAGTTTTAACCGGAAAAGCTCACCTTGACCTTCCAGTCGTACCGCAGAGCTGTGGCGAAAAAAATGGAACGACAGTGTCTATCGAAATGTGCCCGAATTTATGGGATACGCGGATGCCATCACGACGTCTTGGTTTGAGTGTGCCGCATCATCGATCCGAACGTGAAGTCTGAAATGCCCCCTGACTCCCTATATACAAGCGTGTTTTTTAACTCGTTGTGAAGAAGACTGACTTGATTCAAGCTCTGCATGTTATGTTGTGCTTCAATACGTCGCACCGTGTCTCTTTTGGTGGTCACAATTGGTTGATGGGCCAATTTTGGCTCAGGCAGCTCTTCATATCCTCAGCCTGCCAGTGTCCAGTGTTAGCGTTGTGAGGGCATTCTCGAAGCTCAGGGTTATATTAACAGGGAAGAAAGAGTGCGGATCAACGAGGAGAACTTAGGAATGTACATGTGTGTGTACTATAATAAGATCACGTAATCCTGACGTACAAACGGTAAAGTTCCATTTTTTTTTTTTGGAAATAGGCTTTATATTTTACTTGTCTGTATTTCTGTTTTCTTCTTGTTTCTTTTACAGTTGCACACATTCGCCAAATAAAGTGTCCATTTCTTTTT